TTTATCAAACGAAGACGACATTTTTTTTTGTAGTGAAAAGCTGGGCAATTCCAGTATTTGGGGAATCCGATTTTTTTATACGATATGGAAACGGTAGAAGCTCATTTGGAAAAGGAGTTATGAATAAAATCTGCACTATTTTTGCCAGCCTTTGATATCAGAAAAAACCTTTGTTGTTTGATCTATCTTGAGAAAACAACTTATGAAAAACCGGCAGTTTCATCTGGACCACCCCTTATTTGTATTCTCCTTATCAAATAAATTGATAATATGAACTTATAGGTTTATTGAATAAAACATGAGAAAAAAACTGATATTCAACACTTTTTTGGAAGTATGTATCACAATTGATTAAGCAAACCGATGGAATTTAACAATGTTACAAAATGCTAATTGAGAATATAGAATTTGTTGAGAAATATTTTTAGTTTTGAAAAGAAAAAGTGAAAATCTAAGTGAATGTAGTTTATATTTAACATGAACAACCTTTGAAGTTGTTTTGTGTACATATAATATATTTATGACGATGATCAGCAAAATAACTCCACCAACGTTTTAATCTTAATGATGGGCCATCACTTTTTATATCAACATCATTAACACCTACAACAAACCAATCAGACCATTTTTCACTTCCAACTGGAAACCATTCTAATTTGAATGCAATTATATCACCACATTTTAAATATATATCAACATTTGTATCAAGACCAGCTTGAGCCCAACGATTTTCACGACTTGGATTTTGTATTGGTGTTTCAGTACAACTTGCTTGTGTTGATGTATCAACTATTGTTTGTTGTTGACAACGAACAGCATATACTATTGACAAAGCAATTATCCATGAAATTGATTGCTTCATTTTACAAACTAAAAAAAATGTATTGTCTTTTATATAGAAAGTGTTTCTATAGATATTCTTATACTTACTTCTTTGCTATTGATAAAATAGTTCTATTTGTTGAATGAAAATATTGCTGGTATATATATTACTCAAAAAACGGAATTAGTCTATGCGCAAAAATAATTATTTGTTTACAACTAATCGAAAATCATGATTTTTTCACAGATAATTACTGCACAAAAAATTGTGATAGAATACTGTGTTTCACCCCCATCTATATATAATATCTACCTTTAATGAGCAACAATCTATATTTAATAACCACCTCTTTCATTTGATTGAAAAAAATAATTACTATCGAATTGTAAGTCGGAAGTAGAGAATAATGCACCCTGATACCTACAACTCGATAAGGCTAACGTCAATTTTTTTGCTAATGGTCGTTACAAAAGTCATTCAAGTTATTGCGAAGCTCGAAATACATTTTTTTCTGCACACCTTGTTTACACGATGGTTACTAATGGGTTGGGTGTAAGTGTGAGTGTAGGTGTGTGGGTGTGGGTGTGTTGAAGTAGAAATGATTCGAAAATCAAATCTATATGTATATATAAAGCTAGCAAGACCGGTTTCGACCAGAGCTAAGGTGGTCAATTATCAATTGCTTAATATATGATGATAAAATATAAAATTTTTCTCCTACTATGTACAACTATAGTCAAGAGTTATAAGAACTCTCAAATCTAATAGAAGACATAATAATAAATTATTAGAAAGTTATATAATAAATAAAACTTCCAATAAGATAAAAGAGATTCTCCAACTTAATGGGTGTGTTGAAGTAGAAATGATTCGAAAATCAAATCAAGAATATATATAAAGCTAGCAAGACCGGTTTCGACCAGAGCTAAGGTGGTCAATTATCAATTGCTTAATATATAATTATAATAGAGTTTTGAGATTGAGAGCATCACACGACGTTTCGTCCTTGCTTAAGGGACTCATCAGGCATGTTTACAATCTATTATTACATAGGAATTCTAAACTCTCCAATAACTTGAAGAAGTATTAGAACTATTTCGTAATAACCAAAATCCAGTATAATAATATTTAATTATAATAGAGTTTTGAGATTGAGAGCATCACACGACGCGTTTCGAACCTTGCTTAAGGGTTCAATCATCAGGCATGTTTAGAACTTATAGTTACATAATAAATCAAAACTCACTCAATTAAATGAGGTAGTAAAGATTCAATAACATAACAACAAAATCAGTGTGTATAGTTACCACGATAACCTTAGATTATTTCGATATTTCTGACTCAATCTTATCAAGTGGCCAAAGTCCTAGTAGAATAGATCCAAAATATAATTTTGAATCACTACACAGAACTATATCTACTTATTTTTTAATAATAAGCAGTACAGCTATAAAAATAAGTGTGTTGATAGAATATCAAATTTTTATAATCAATTATTAGCTAGCAAGACCGGTTTCGATAAGTGCTGGAAGCTTAAGCTTATCAATTGCTTTAGATTGATTATATGATGTTACTCAAAGTAATAACTCTCCTACTGCAAATAATATAGTTAAAAGTCATAGATAACTTCCAAGCTAATGTGTTTCACAAATGAATATTTATCGGATAAATAATATAAATAATTAAAACCCAACAAATTTTCGAAAGAGATTCTCATATAATAGGGTGTGTTTAAAGATAGGTGGTTCAAAATATGAATCTATCAAAAGCTAGCAAGACAGGTGTTTCGACCAGAGCTAAGGTGGTCAATTATCAATTGCTTAAGATAATAGATGTAAAAATATATATAATTTTTCTCCAACTATGTACAACTAAAGTCAAGAGTTATTAAGAACTCTGAATCTATAAGAAGACATAATATTCTATTATTAGAAAGTTATAAAAGAAAACTTCCAATAATTTTGAATAAGAGATTCTCCAACTATATGGTGTGTTAGCAGATAATGATAAAAAAAAATAAGAAAGAAATCGAATTTCATATATGACGCATACATACAGTAGAAATATATATATACATATTAATATAAAAGAAAAGATCAGACGTTTACTTGCTTGTATAGTTGAAGAATAATTTAATGCCGTTGGTTCCATAGTATCTGTAAGAAAATATTTTAGTGAAGTAAAAGCAGATAACATGTAAATATATTAACAGACCTGATCATGAATCATAACAGTGAATACAGTTGTTCGTCCCAGTGATAAGATTAGTAGAATAGTTGATGTTATCGCTGTTGCGAATATCTTCGAATGAATGCAATCTATGAAAATTCGCTCTATTTATAGTCGAGGCGAGAGAAAGTGATCTCTCTCGTAGGACAGACTACAGCATAGAGATAGAGAGAAAAAGAGAGAGGGACATACCACGGCATAATACATTCCACGACATGATATGGTTGACCACGTCATACTTGAACTATAGATGTACACCCAGGACGTCCGCATAATATCACATCATACTAGTGTATAACCAGGGGTTAATTTTTTTTTTCTGAAATTGAAATCAGTGATATCCAGAGTTATATATATATCAATAATAAGCTTTGACCGTCTAGATGTTATGTCTGGAATTTTTCTTCATCACATCCATCGTTAAATATTGAGAAAACAATAATTTTGAATAATCTTTTTTTTTCCTAAAATTTAAATAAATCATATCCAGGGTTAAATATATAACAATAATAACCTTTGACCGTGTAGATGTGGGTGTGGGCGTGGGTGTGGGTGTGGGTGTGGGTGTGGGTGTGGGTGTGGGTGTCGGTGTCGGTGTGGGTGTGGGTGTGGGTATGGGTATGGGTGTGGCTGTGGCTGTGGCTGTGGGTGTGGGTGTTGGTGTGGGTTGCTGGTGAGGGGTGTGGGTGTGCTTGTTTGTGTTTTAAGTAAAGTAAGAGTGATATGGATAGTTATAGAGAGAGTGAAGTGG